GCAAATAAAATTGCACTGCAACCAAATGCAACCTAAAAAGTTCACATCTTTCCCCCATAGAATGTGTCCCAAAAACACCCCACATGCACATCTCAGCGTGCAGTGAGTATTGAGAACATCTCCCGTATTTATCATTGGGAGATGTTTCCAATGCATGATTGGGATGTGCTATAGGACATTTTTAGGACTCATTCTGTGGGGGCGGGTTTGAACTCTAAAGAATACTGTAGCTGTTTGAACTATCACCCATTTAGATAGATGTGGTGCTTTAATTACAGGAATTGTGATACATCATCGATTTGTTAAAGCATAATATAATGGTTATGTAGATTTGGCGGTTTTTCCCGTCATTCATATTTGATCAATTTGGAATCAAATCAACGACTCGTTTATCACAGTAAAATTCCCTTGTGGTCCAACCATCCAAGTATCTATGAATATTTTTTTCAAGTTCATTTTATTTTAACCAGAAATCCGGTTCCCCTTTTGATGACCATCATGCACAAGGGCGGAGCCAAAGTATATTGGTGGGGATCCTTGCCCCCCAAACTTTTTGTTAAAACCGTATCTATATGGCTACTTTGTGGAGGTTGGGGTTAAATTGGGCGCCTCCCCCCCCCCCCAAAAAAAAAAAAAAAACCTAAAATTGTAAAGCATTAAGGTTCCTCCAATATATATATATATATATATATAAAATAAATCCAAACATTTTCATGCTATTTTTTGGGCCTTCAAAAGAAAATTCCAGGCTCCGCCGTTGATCATGCATCACTAAACCAGCAATACATGTACGATATTTTTTGGCACCATCCCTAAGAGACAAATCCATTTTTTATTTTGCCTACAGAATTGCATCATTTGTTTCCACAACAAAGTTTGGAAAGAGCACAAATACAAATATATAGAGTGCAAAACTATGTATTTTGTATTATTGTGAATGCATTTGCATTGTACATTGTTGTATTTGTACTCCTTCAAAATTGAGCCTACTATACATCTGGACATGATACAATGACCTAACAGGTAGTTAGAATAATCCAATTAAGCAAAATTGTATGACTTGGCCAATCAACTAGAAGGTGGGCATCCACCAAAGAGCATCGTCAATTCCACCTCCCCTGTAAATGAGTTTTGAAGTTAATAGATGGTGAAGAAGAGAGGGTAAAATTGGGTTTTTAAAGTATTATAACAGTAATGTGCTATCACATATGAAGCAAATGTAATGGCTTGCTAAGGGAATGATGTATTTGTCTCGTTATCATAAAACCTAGGGGTACTTTAAGGTATTATTTAAACATGAAGGTTATATTTAATCCAATTTTCAAGACCCATGGATGCTTTACTTAAAAATTTAACTCATTTATCTTTTCAAAATTGACGAGGGGTAATTTGGTCCTCCAATGACATCATGACATGTGGCATCGTAGAACAACTGGGTGACACCTCGACACCATGTAAGTAGATCACTTCGGACATTTCACAACTACGTCAGTGACCTCGGGACCACCCGGTAGACCGAACTGCAAATAGCTAGATGGGACATCAGGTCGGTGTAAGAGGCAACATGCTTCCACTGGACTACCCTAGCCCCAACAAGGCATCAGGTCGGCATGAGAGGCAACCCGCTTCTGCCAACTTGACCTGAGTTCAGCTAGCGACTTGCCGGGCAACCTCCTCCTTAAGTGGGTTATCGTCTTCGACTTCCAAATGATCATGATGGCACGTCAGAAGAGCCGATTATCACCCTGCCTGCTTCGGGTGCGATTGGATAAGCCCTATCCGCTTACACGAAGTCTATCTTCAAGCATAAAACCACCTCCAAATCAGACGGCTCGGAGAGCCCAGATGTGTTTCATGAGGCTCATGGCAGCCCACCTATATAAGGGCCTTACTTCCAACTTCAAAAGGTACACGCGATTTAACTCTCAATCTCTTTAGCTATCTTGCATTCTAGCAGTCACATATACAATCAATTCAGTATAACTTAAGCATCGGAGTGCCCACCCCAGGTAAAGCAATCCGAATACTCTGATCTCTTTCTTGCAACTTGACCAAGTGACCTACTTAGCTTGACATCTGAGATATCCGCCAGTAGGGAGCACCAAATCGTGCATCATCAAAAACCAAAAATAAAAAAAAAAGACTATTATTGAATTTTTTATTAACAAATATGTTTTCAACTTTTCATATGGTTATTTAATATCATGTTATATTTACATATACTATATTTTTCTAACAAAAAAAATCATATAGTTTCTATACTATAAATACATGGGTCAACAACTCTCTTTTTTTCTTATCTATTTTTAGGGGCATCCTAAAGCGTAAGTTATTTTTCTTGTTGTTGGTTCCCAAAACAAATCAAAGCAATCTTGTTTGAAAAACAAATTGTTTCTTAAAACAAAAACATAAGAAACATGTTTGGTTGTGTATGCATTTTTTGTTTTCAAAACTGGAACCAAAAACATGTTTTTGAATTTGGTTTCAAAGAATACAGAAACACAAGAAGCATGTTCTTGATGCGACAATTTAGGTGGCGTTCTACAACGTAAATGATTTTTCTTGTTGTTGGTTCTAAAAACAAATCAAAAACTAAAACCAAGAGTGAAGCATGTTCATGATGTGGCAATTTAGGGGGCAATCTACAATGTGAATTGTTTTTCTTGTTGTTGGTTACAATAGCAAATCAAAACCATCTTGTTTGAAAATAGATTGTTTCTTAAAACAAAAACATAAGAAACATATTCTTGGTTATGTATGCGTTTTTTTTTTTTTTCAAAACTGAAACCAAAAACATGTTCTTGAATTTGGTTTCATAAACAAGTTTTCATTTGATTATTCAACATCATATTCTATAAAATCATATAATTTAAATACTAGATTTTTTTTTAAACCAACATTTTATTGGTTTCAAAAACATGCATCTCTTTTTAGTAGGGTTGTTCATAAATAAATTCAAATTGACCAACCTGGCCTGACCTAAACTGATTTGGCCAGTTTTTCTTTACCACCGGTCGGTTTCGGGTTGGAAAGATGGGCAAACCAATAATTCAGTTCGGTTTCAGTTTTCATATGTAAAGATGGGTAAACCGAACCGAGTTATCTATAAATATATTATCACTGAAATATTATATATAATATGTATATTCTAAAATATATATTTCAGTTTTAAATGTATTTCCAGTAAATATATTCTCACTGAAATATTATATATAATATGTATATTTCTGATATATATATATATATATTTAAAGCTGAAATATATATTTCGGAAATGTATATATTTAAACCAAAACTGACCCAAACCGACCAAGTTGGTTTTGCTTAATATAGGGTCGGTTTTGGTTTAATCTTTAGGTAACCTGACTAGGTCGGGTCGGTTGAAAAAAAAAACTAGTAAACTGACCCAACCCGACTCATGAACAGCCATACTTTTTAGAAACAAAATCAACTTGCTTTTCCTTTTCGAAAAGAAAACAGAGTTCAAGAATATTTTTTTTTATTTAGTTGCTTATGTGGCGATTCAAAAAACAAATGACAACAAAAACATTCATGTTATAGAACATCCCTTAGTGAATTGCTTATTTGATTTCTATTGATGGCCTTTGGTGGAAGGTATGAGAATGTGTTATGGCTGTGGTCTCTAAACTGGCTTACCTAGGAAATAGAGAAAAAGAAAAGCATAATAACAATTGCCAAATGGGAAAAATTTGAAAAAGTGGGTGGTGTTTTGTCCAAAGTTAACTATTTAAATCATTATTGGAGGAGTTCACATCTCCACCCCACAACACATCCCTGCCGTGTATTGAGAGCATTTCTCGATGATGATAGCATCAATTTTGATACATCATCGAAAATTGTTCCCAATACACGACGGGGATGTGTTGTGGGGTGGGACGTATGTTAAATAGCATGAAAAAATTTGGAAAAATGCCACATCAGCAAAAATTAGACAAAGTAATGATGTGACAATTGCTTTTCTTTATTTTTTTTGGTGTTCTAAGTAGGAAGCTCAAGAGCTGTAAGATGAAAAATTTATTCTCATACATTGATTAAAAAAATAATCACTCGGGAGATGCTTCTTCATCGTTCAGACATTCATTACATGTGATATTGGCATTGTACATAAGGTTGCATTTGGAAATGGTGCAAATGGAGTCTAAATCCCGATTTAGAATAAATTTGCACTCTGATTCACTTTTGCCTATGTTTAGCAACATTACATTTATGCATTGACAAATGATAGACTAACACATATTTACATTGATAATAAGATGTAAAAGTACATCAATAAAAAATAAGTAAATTTGCATTCAAGTGGGCTTTTGATAAAAAAAAAGCATATGCTTTATTAAAATTCATGTTTGCATCCATTACAGCTAAAAGTCTATTTGGTAAGAAGGTAAATTTATATGAACCTAATTTTACAATTTATATGAATCATTTTACACTACATATTTACATTCACACTTATTTGCATCATTTCGAAACGGGTCCAGATCTGCTCCTCACACCTGACGCCTCAGAGGTGCCTCACATGCACATCCTATCACATGCATTGGGAACATCTCCCATACTTATTAAGTATTATTCATGGGAGATGTTCCCAATGCACGGTGGATATGCATGTGAGGTGCCCATATGTGAAGAGCAGATCCCGTCTCTTCCAAATGGAGCTGAAGTTCATTAAGGTGCTTATTTATTAATCACTATGATTTTGATAAACCCCAATAGAGCTGCTCACAAAGCGCGTCTCACACCGACGCGCAGCAGTGTTTCAGCCGTGCACCGGGAACATCATGTGAGTGCAGATCCGAACTCACTCCAACACATCAGATAAGCTGATAAACCGTAAGGCTGTGTTTGGTTTGAGAGAAAAAAATAAGAAAAGTAAGGAAAAGGTAGGGAAAAAACCAAACACAGCCTAAAGTTTATCAGGTTTAAGATTGATGTCGTATAGACCCGCTATTTAACTCATCCGAGTTTTCACATGCAGAACTCAATTCGATGGTTGGATACCGACCGAGTGCGTCGGGGTTCCGGGTCCCCAAATGGGCAATTTGGCAAATACTTCTGAAAGTTCAAGGTTGTACCTATCAATTATCAGGCACTCTTGCCCGCCAAGTTCGTCTGTTCGACAATGGCGACTTCTTATTCCGTCACCCACTTTCCCTCATTCTCGAAAACCCTAAGGTGCCCTTTGTACCCAGTTATCTCCAAACTTTCATTGACCTTCAAGCCCTCTTCAAAGTCCCTGAAACTAAGGGCAGTTCTATCAGAAAAGGCTACGACGGTCACGAATGATGCACCAGCGACCAGATTCCAGCATTGTTTCAGTAAATCCAAGGATTTTCTCTATTGCGAGGGTGTTAAAGTACAAGACATCCTGGATTCGGTGGAGCAAAGACCGTTCTATCTCTACAGTAAGCCCCAAATATCTCGGAACTTCGAAGCGTATCGGGAAGCTTTGGAGGGGCTGAAATCGATCATAGGATACGCAATCAAAGCCAACAACAACCTGAAAATTCTCGAGCATTTGAGACAGTTGGGTTGCGGTGCGGTGCTTGTTAGCGGGAACGAGCTGAAGCTAGCGCTTCGTGCAGGTTTCGACCCCACGAGGTAATTTCGAAAAATAAAAAAAAGAACATAGTTCTAGATTTCAAATGCACGCCAAGTTTGTTGTTCTGGTCTTCAATGCATGTGGCCAGCGTAGACTCGTTCTCATTTGATCATTTCTGCACCTTAGAATATCTTTAGAACCATGTTGAGGGCAATTATGCATGAGCAGGTCTGAGTGTGATAAGGATAATATTAATTGGTTTCACAAGACCAATACACTGTTTATTTGATGCCCTAATCTATTACTTTGCAGGTATCAGTGTATGACTATGATAAAGATAAGGTGTTTTCCTGATCTTGCTATCCTAGTTTGATATTTTGCTGAATGGAACCCATCCTAATATATCAACTTCATATACGACAAAAGAAAAATGTATAGATGAAGTTTATCTGGGTAGTTTAATCCTAGTGAAGCCGGTTTTGTTGTTTATAGGAGCAGGTCGAGATCATATTTTTCATGACTTTGTCACGTGGCAGTTGAGGTGGCAACATCAAGGGCTATAGTTTGTACGGTAGAACTGCAAAACATGATTATGCATGGGACTGCCATGGATGAGTACACATTCAACAGGACTACTCAAGAATGTCCCTCATCAAATGAATTGCCATTTCTACCGTGTCAGTCCACCACATAGCAAAAAACTCATGTCACTGTTAGCCAGCAGAAAAATATGGGATTATCCTTATTTAATATTTGCATGTATAATATTATGAAAAATATTTGTTTTGTCATCATCCAAGTCTTCTCCCAACTATATGGAGTTGACTACATGAATCCTGTTTTTCCATTCCATTTTGTTCAGTGACATAACCATCGTTAAACCTTGGGTTGTCAAGCGTGAGAACAGAGAACCCGGGTTCGAGTTTGACAGTGACTACCTTTTGCAAAAAGTGCCAAAGTTAGGACCGTATCTAGTCCACCCTTCCCAAGACCCCAGATAGTTGGGACCAACATTGGGTAATGGCTTTTTTTATTTATATTTAAATAATTTTTTATTACTTCTACCCAAGTTCTTTTCAGTCTTCCCATAGCTCTTCTAGCCCCTTCAACTTGTAACGGATCACTTTTTCTAACAGGTGTTGTAGATGGTTTTCTATGCACATGACCAAGCCATCTCAATATACTTTCTCTCATTTTATCACTTATTGGAGCTACTCTTAGTTTCCTTCATATGACATCATTTCTAACCTTCCACCAAAAAAAAAAAAGACATCATTTCTAACCCTGTCCTTTCTATCTTTACCACTCATCCATCATAGCATTCACTTACAAAAACTATTTGTTTGTATGTGCAAAAGTTCAAAATTAGTTATTGGACTCTTGAATGAATCCTTTTTATCACCATCTTTTTTTTTTCCTGTCAAAGAGCCATGCCTAGGGGTGCAATTCTAGCTGAGTTGGCTCAGGTTGTGCCAACCCTAGCCTAATTCAATGTGTTCAAACCTCAACCTTAACCCTAATCCAATGTGATCTTTCAACCGTGGTTTTAACCCTAACTTGAGCCAACCAAGAAATTGGGTTTGGTTCAGGTTGAAACCATATCAAATTTACAGGCACATGCAAACCTACTAGCATACTCATGCAAACACAAACATTATATATTGGAAATGATAGTCATAAGAAAAACACCCTTCATTATCATCCTCCCTCTTCCAGTCCTCCCCCTCTCACATAAATCTACTTATACACAGAATTTATACATATATCATACGTAATATATAAGAATTGATACATTAGGTTTAGGTTGGGTTAGATTTCCCAAGGCATGAAGCTAACCCAACCTGTTCCTATGGCAGTGTTAGAAACCAAAAACAGAGAAAACCCACTATCCAGAAGGTCTACGCAAGAAAGAAAAAACATGGGTTTAAATCTGTTGAACAACAAACTGATTAAGTGGGTTCTTGAATTCTTGACCTTGATTCTTGAACCACTACAGTTGTCAGCTTACAAGTGTAAATAAGTGAATTGGGGAATGAGAGGCTTACCTTGAGTTTGATTCATTTTCTGCTCTCTAACCTCTCTCTCTCTCTCTCTCTTTCAGGAGATCACACTCTCTCGAAGTAGTGTCTGAGTTGGGCAGAAACCCAACGTCTGGTATCAGAGCCAATTCCAAGCACTTGGTCAAATACCATGGAAGACAGGGTCGATCAGATGGAACCTACACAAAGCTATCGACTATCTCCAAAACATCAAAGAATCCGTGAATGCTATACTGGCTTAGATAGGAAAAAGCACCACAGACAACAACCTGGAAGGAGATCAGGAAGTCACTGGCCAAGTACACAGAGAACCCATTCTTTGATTTGGAAAATTCGATTTTCCTAGGTACGCCAGCGACGGTCCAATTTCTTGGATTTTTAAAGTTGAGCGATAATTTGAGTGTCACGAGACCCCAAGCCACCAGCGCGTCCTGGTTGCTTCGTTCCACTTGGAAGGTGAGGCTGTAACATGGTTTTAATGGTTCAAGCGTTCCCATTAGGTCTCGTGGGCAGACTTCATCAAAGCTCTGTGTGTGTGATTTGGTCCAATAAAGTTTGAGAATCATGATGAAGCCCTGTCCAAGCCCCACCAATGGGGTACCGTCCGGGAATACCAGCAAGAATTTGAAAAACTGGCAAACCGGGTACAGGGTTGGCTAGAAACAGCCCTGTTCGGATGCTTCCTCAGCGGCCTGCGCGACGACATGAAAAATGATGGCTGTTGTCAAACTTGCAAAGCTACAGGAGGAGAAGATAAATCAGTTGAGGAAAATGTGATGGTTCGGTCCTCTAATAAAAAACCCTCCCAAGATTGAGTCGATATAGTCCAGGCCATTAATATCACAGATCCAAGACTGTAGTGCACCCTCCCAAGCGTTGTTGCCCTTCAAGAAGCTCTCTTGGACTGAAATGCAGGATCGTTGGGAATGAGGCCTCTGCTACAACTATGACGAGAAATTCGGGCCTGGCCATAAATGTAAAGCTCAACAAGCCTATTTACTCCAAACGGATGATGAGGAAACTATGGAGAGCCAAGTTGAGGAAACATATCCAGCCCTGCCGGAAATTTCAATACATGCGCTTAGCGGAACCAACTCACCAAGAATGATGAGGGTGGAAGGCACGGTGCTGGGTAGAACAGTATCGGTACTGATCAACAGCGGCAACATGCTGAACTTCGTATCTGAAGACCTCTCTAAGCAACTAAGTCTAACCATACAACAAACCCATCCCTTCAAAGTCTGTGTAGCAAACGGACAGAGCATCCCCTGTTGAAGGAATATGCAAGGAGGTAACCATCAAAGTCCAAGGTTATCTACTTCGAACTGGCTTACGTCCATTGCCATTTTCAGGGGCTGACATTGTATTGGGCATTCATTGGCTTGTCCAATTAGGGCTTCTAGTATGTGATTGCAATTGGATGATGATGGACTTCTTGGTGGATGGTGTGGATTGCCATTTACAAGGTGCCCAATCTACGGGAACTCAAACCCAAAGCCTTCAGTCCATGATCAAAAGTTGTAGACAACAAGGTCATCGCTTCTTAATGAGCATGGGCCCGGTCCAGACAACTTAGATTTTACATCAACAACATAAGACCAACCGCAACAGTCAGCCCAAATAACATTATAGCAGCTTTTAGAAGAATTTGGTGATGTGTTTAAAGAACCACAAGGGCTACCTCCATCCAGGCAAAGTGACCATAGGATCCCTATCATGCCAAGGGCTCCACCTGCCACTGTAAGGCCCTATAGGTATCCAAACTCTCAAAAGGCTGAGATAGAGAAGATCGTGACTGAACTATTGCGAAAACAACATATTCAGCCTAGCTCAAGTCCTTACTCCTCACCAGTGCTTCTAGTTAAGAAAAAGGATGGTACTTGGCGTTTTTGCATCGATTATAGAGCCCTCAACAATATAACAGTGAAGGATAGGTTGCCAATTCCCCTAATTGAGGAACTCTTGGACGAGCTAAGGTCAACCACCATCTTTTCTAAACTGGATCTTAGATCCAACTATCATCAAGTAAGGGTGCACCCAGATGATATTCACAAAACAACATTCAAGACACACGATGACCATTATGAATTTCTGGTGATGCCGTTTGGCCTAACAAATGCTCCAACGTTCCAATCACTCATGAATGAGGCCATACCTTCGCCGTTTTCATTACATGCTCTTTGATGATATTCTAGTGTATAGCCCAAATTGGGCTTCTCATCTAGAACATCTTAAGATCACTTTGTACACCCTACGACACCACCAATTGTTTGCCAAGGAATCCACATGTGATTTCAGAAAAAATAGAATTCACTACTTGGGCCATGTGGTGAGTAATGGCAAGGTTTCGGCCGATCTAGGAAAAGTGGCTGCTATTAAAGCTTGGCCTCAACCAACATCTATTAAAAGCCTAAGAGGATTTTTGGGTCTTTCTGGATACTATAGATGGTTCATAAAAGGGTACGGGCAATTGGCAGACCCACTAACCCAACTTTTATGCAAAGGCTCATTTATATGGACCAAGGCAGCCCAATCTGCATTTGATTAGCTAAAACAAGCTCTCTCTAGCTCTCCTACACTTACTCTACCAGATTTTAATAAGACATTTATTCTTGAATGTGATGCTTTGGGTAGGGGCTTAGGAGTTGTGCTTATGCAAGACAATCAGCTAATTGCCTACTTCAGTAAGGCACTCAACAGACAAGCACGTTGCAAATCCACACATGAAAGGGAATTGATGGCCCTAGTGCTTGTAGTCCAAAAATGGAAGGCCTATCTATTGGGGGTGTTTTTAGGGATGAGGATGGGGCTATTTCTGCCTTGTTCTCAGGCCCAATTGGAGTGGGTGACTCCTTTAGAGCTGAGACCTTTGCAGTTATGGAAGGAGTCCAAAAATCTAAGGAGATGAATATCAGAAAACTCATAATTGAAGGGGATTCGGAGGTGGTGATAGGGTGGCTGAATAAAAATAACAGTGGCTTATGGAATTACAGCAATGAGAGGAGGAAATTTAAGTGGCT